GTGTGCGCCACTCAGTTAGCCTCGCGGTTGATATAATGTACCTTGAGTGTCAGGGAGTCGTCCATAAGAGCCCGCGCCTCGTTGAGCATCAATCCTACCACCGATAAGTCATTATGACGGTTAACGAGTCAGTTCACAATAGATATAGTATCATTTTCAATAATCGTATGGTGTTATCCGATTGCAAATCTAAGACCCTTCATAAAGGAAGCAGCCTCAGTCGATTCTGCTGTGTGACCACTCTCTAAACATCGAGCCAGCCCTCCAATGACCATGCCATATTGGTCCCTCGCGACCATCCCGATTGTTGGGGTTCTGTTGTGGGCAACATACGTGCCATCGACAATGATCTTGACGCGACCATCCTATGACTTAGTTCATACCCTTTTATTGCTCGCCCCCATCAATCTTTGGTTGGTTGAGAAAAGGTTGGATGTCTCATGGAGTTCCTTGACCAAACTCCATGTCTTATTGACCATATCTCTCGCACATTGAAGTTTTTTGTCATGGACTCATTTGTTGCGACGATTCCAAATGTTCTAAAGAAAAGACACATGTTTATACAGTCTCGATCGATCCATGGAATAAACAACCTCTTCAAGCCAAGATTTACAACTTGAGGCATTGGAAGAAATAATCGTGTGCTCAAGTCCAGAAAGAGATAGGATCTCTTTTGCCAGAGGGCACTCCTTGAGAGTATGCAACACCGTCTCTCTTAGCTCGACAAACCTTGTCCTATGCCACGAAGTCCTATCCTCTAGCATCCTATTTCTCTTAACCACCATTAGGATCTCATATGTGAGGTAATAGAATCAAGAACACCATCCGGAAGCAAATAACAGGACATTGCGTAAGTTGGTAAAGCTTTAGCAACGGATTTTAGGAAGATTTCTCTCCCCCCATACGAGAGAAGGTTCTTCGTCCATTATCAATCAATTGTCATCATCACCATCATCATTTTCATCATCAAATCACCATGATCGCCCATCACCACCAAGACCCTAATTTTGGCTAAGTTTTTCCTATCTTATTACATTCGTTGTCTTTATTTTATTTCATATCTTTATTGCCTTCGTCTTACTTCTTTTGTCTAATTTTTCAGCAAAGTTGAACTCCTTTAAACCCTAATTGTTGCCGGCACCATTCATTCTTCTCCTCTTGTTATGTGACCTAGTCTAGAGTTTTCTATGTTTGATTCTTTGACAAGAGCAACATCCATTCACACGTTGTCGCATCTCTATCATTTTCACCAGCTTCCTTCAGTCTTTAGCTCAGTTGTTGATGTCAAAGAAGATCATTAACTTTTCATAATTAATCTTCTTTCCAGATGAAGCTTCATAAAGATCCAACACCTCCTTAAGTCTAAGAGCTTCATCGGTGGAGTTTTTTAAGAATAGCAAAATATCATCAGCATAGAACAGATGGTTGATTCTTGGGCCTTGAATGCTTGCCCGGACTCCTTTGATCGAGCCTCGTTGTTGCTTGGCAAGGAGAGTGGCAGACAATCCCTGAGCACAAAAAATAGGAACAAAAATGGGGAGAGTGGGTCTCCTTGTCGAAGTCCTCTCTCTGGTATGAAGAAACTCGAAATCTACCCATTGATTCAGATGCAATAAGAAACGGAGGAGATACAACTCACAATAAGTCGGACAAAAGAGTTATCAAACCCCATATTCTCCATGACACAAGCAACAAAATTTCATTCAACATAGTCGTAAACTTTTCCATATCGAGCTTAGGGGCAGCCCCATTATTGGGTCCATTCTTTGAACGCTTGAGGTAATGCAAGAGTTCACGAGCAACTAGAAAATTATCCTAGATTAGCTTTGTTTGTGTCATGGATTAGCATTGATCTCCGGCGTAATCCAAACTTCGATTGCATCAAGGATCTCATTTGAAATTCTTCCATTAGAGGAGTGAAAGAGAGTAGAGAAGAAATCTGTGGCAACCCCAAGAATTTCCTTAATATTCTCAACCCAATCATCGTCCTTATTTTCGATTCATGTCACCTAGTTTCTCTTTTTTCGACCACTGGCTCTCGAATGGAATAACTTAGTATTCCTGTCTCCATCTTTCAACCATGTCACTCGAGATCTTTGCATCCAATAGTTCTCTTATTTGTCCATAATGTCTTTGAGTTCTTTTTTTGCATCGAGGAGGTGTTTGATGGAGGAATCGGAGATGGGGGCGTTTGCAAGGTGCCCAATGCAGTCCAAGCCGAACCGAGAGTGTTAGTCCATCCATTTTTCACTATGGCCCCGCACTCCTCATCATTTGCCCTACAAGTGTCAAACTTGAAGTAGTCTGCTCGTCTCTCTTTCCTGTTTTTGAGCCTTGGGTATCAATAATGATAGAAGCATGATCCGAAGTGAGAGTTTGCATCGTAGTCACCATAAAGTCCTTGAAGAGTGTCCTCCATTATGAGCAGGATCCCCTCCAACAATCCAAGGGAGAGTGGAAGTGCCTCCCAATTTTCACATTTCCTCGAACGATCACCAAGGTAATATTGCCAGATAAGCCCCTTGTAAATTTATTTCACCTACAAAAAGTAAATGGTAGTATATCACTCTATTTGGACCAGTACCTAGAAAGTATACATAGTTATAAATACATTATAACATACCTTTCTCCTATAAAATAAATGGTAGTCAATCACTGTATTTACTTGTACTAATTTAATTTAATGATTTATTTTTCTTGAATTCAATAAAATGTAAAAAGTATTCAATATAAACATTTCAATAATTATTTAATAAATCTCTTTCGTGTTCTACGTATCAAGATCTTCGAATAATTTCTTTAAACGAATCTCTCTCGAGAGATGTTTTTATCAAGGGTTATCTCCGGATTTGAGATATAGAAACTCAAACCTTGTACATCTCGAAAGATCAAAATCTTTTGACATAATTATTGACAGGCTCCACATAATCTATCAGAATCAATTGGCAACTTGACAATTGATCATGTCAAGTAAGATCGTCCATTGTACTAACCTTCAAATGGGTATCATAATCCTAGTCTTGACATCAACACTGAGATATAATATTTAAGTCGTTATGCATGGGATCTAGAAAGAGAAGATTAACACAATCATTCTTCTAGACACTTATTCATATAATCAATGTCAATATAATTGTCTGATCGTTTTTCAGATATCAATTGTGATTTTTCGTCTAAATCCGAAGGAGTGAACTACCTATACCTGATATAATCTTGTTTATTTCATCAACAAAAATATATTCTTAAATTTTGTATAATTCATCAATATTTATAAATGAGTAAACTTAATTTGGTTGGGTTAAATTTATTTTTAAAAAAATATTATTTTCTATATTTTATCAATAATCTGTCTATTAAAATTAATATCTTTTAATATTTATTTTAAAAATACTATATACAGTATAAATTGAATTTATATTATAAAATTTAATTTCAAATCATAAATATTAAAATTTAAAATTTAATTAATTTTAAAAGAACATTTTCCCCTAATTTCTTAGTATTTTTAAAATTTTGATATTGTGAATGAACTTAACAACTGAATAAAAAGAATTGGCTCATATTAAAAATACTTTAAATGAATTGAAATAATATATTATATACAAGTAGTTATACTTAAAAAATATTATTTTTAGAGAAATTAGTATATTTTTAATTAAAAAATTTGTAGTTATCTACTAATAGGTGTTTATATAGTTCTTCTGCTTTTCATTTTTGTTTTTTCTATGCTCAATTATTTCAAAAATAATAAATTACATTAGATGTAACCGAATTTTATTAAAATTATCATTTTAATTATTAATTTTTAAAAATATAAAATTATTATTAAATTTATCGAATCATTATAAAATAATTATTATAATATTATAAAAATTATAAAAATTAATAAATCTAATAATCATTTATAAAAAAATTGATAAAGTTTAATAGTCATTTTATAACAATTGATAAGATTTATTGATCATTTTGTACACATTCAGTTAATTTAATGATTATTTTATAAGTTTTAAATGTTTAGTGGTCAAAACAATAATCGGAATGCAAAGATCTACACTGTATTTATCCTTTAAAAATAGTCTAAAAAATAAGTGCTTAAATTATACTTAAAATTTTCTTTTTGGTACCTATTTTTTGTTAAAAATATGTATATAATGTTTTTGTTACACTTTTAAGTCCTACTGATAAAAAAAATTATTAATTGACACGTGATACACTTATATTTTTTATTATTTTAAAAATAAAATATTATTTAAATTTTTTTTTTAAAAAAACTTAATGTAACACGTGTCACTTAACTTTTTTTAAACGGTAAGTATCTAACAGTGTAACGTAAAAAATATTAAACACTTATTTTTAATAAAAAATTCTTTAAACACCAAAAATCAACTTTAATATAATTTAAACAATTATTTTTATATTAAAAGTCTAAAAAATAAAAAAAAATAAAAAAATATTTTTCATAATCATGCTTGATGATTAAAAATAATGTGATTTTCATGGAAAAAGAAAACTTTTTCACATTTAATTATTAATTCATTAAGCTGTTTTAGTAAACATTATTATTTTTGCAGGTAAAAGCTGAATGAGAGCATATTTCTTATGCTTTCAAGAAATTAATTGATCCTATTCTCATATGTAATGGAATAAGGAAGAGGTTGGGTAATAGTATATCCTAACGTTGAGAGCAACTTCCATGAAAGACCTCCGTTATGAATTGTCCTCAGTAGAACTCGATCCCACGACCACAAAATTAAGAGTCTTGCGCTCTAACACAAGGTTATGATTAGCTTTGATAATCATATGACTCACTTTGGGGTTGGGATGCTTCAACTTTCAGGTCAAAGTTCATCAATTTACTTTCTGGGTTTTTGTTTTTTGATTGAAACCTCTCATTAACCCTTCTTTTTCTGTGCTTTTTTCCCTTTGATTCTTCACTTTTTCCTTGAACTGATGAAAGGGTGTTTATTATTTTCTGAGGTTTTCATTTTTGTGATGTAAAAATGAAATCTTTGAGCAGTGTAGGGGTTGGTTTGAGCATAGTTTTCGTTGTTCTGTTCTTAGCTTTGATTGCCGAGTTGTATTACCTGCTATGGTGGAAGAAGAGATTGACAACCAACTCAGTAGACATTGAGAATGATTACAACAGCTCAGCAACCGAGCTGTTCTACATGTTTTGCTGGAAGAAATCAGCACCGAGTCCACACGGAATCCAACGACAGCCGTCTCATCATATTAATCATAGTCTCCAGTCCAACAAGGATTTGTTCTTCAAGCCCTATGGTGATGATGATGATGGTTTGGGGCCACCAGGGTTATTGTTCACCATTGTTGAAGAAACAAAGGAGGACTTGGAGTCTGAGGAAGGTGTGGTTTTCTGTGTTGAAACACCATATTTGACACCACTTGCTTCACCTCCATTCTTGACACCTCCTCTAACTCCATTAGAGGCTGCTTGTGGAGCATTCGACCCTTTGTTTAAATCATCAAACGGTGGAGATTTAGACACGTCATCATCATCTTCTTCACCTCCTTCAAAGTTCAGGTTCTTGCAGGAAGCTGAGGGGAAGCTCCATAGGAAGAAGAAGATTGTACATTAATGGAGGAAATAGGTAACAATGGTGCAGAAGATACAAAAGAAAAGGGTTCAATGAGTCATAAATCTCAGGCAGTTTTGCTCTTGGTTCTTGTTCTTCATCAGCAATGGTGAATTTCCATTTGAATTAACAAGATTTTTTTAGTTTTTTTTACCAACCAAAACTGAAAGTGGGAGGGGATTTGTTTTTATATTAATCTCACGTCTCTCCTTAGCTGTTTGGTGGCGCCTTTGTAATCATTTCAATGAGTGAATTGATTTACTGATCTTCTTTAATCAGATTTGGTGCTGTAAATTTCTTGCAAAATATGTGCTTTAAATTGCTAGTAAATATAAGATTAGGACGTGTTTGTAAAATGTGGAGTAATCTAGGGGTTGATTTTGATTCTTAGAAACATTGTTGTTGATGTTGTCAACATGGTTATATTCTTCAAAATGATGATTATTGCTTAGTTTTTACTCCATTAAGAAGATTTGGTGCAAATTTGGGAAAATGTAGGATTGAATACTATTTTGGGTAAATTACACTCTTGATCATTTAATTATTGACAGATTTCGATTTGATTGTAGATCTTTTAATTTTGTCAACCAAACCACTTAACTATTTAAATGATATCAAACAAACTATCTTTTGTCAATATTTGAGGAGGTACATATCAAATCGATAGAATATGTAAGTTATGCGATTAAATAAGTAATTATATCAAATTTGTTAATTATCACATCAATTTCTATATCAAATGTTAAGTACATGTAATTTGTTTATTATCATTTAAATACTTAAATGGTCTGATTGATAAGGTGATAAGATTAAACTCCTCTTATAATTAAATCATCATATAGCCAATGAGTGTCGGCACAAGTGGTTGGGATTCAAGAATTTGAGCTTGTAAGGTCAAGTTTGAATCCCACCACCGTCACTCTTGGTGGGAAATATGTAAAACCTTGTGTAAATCTCAATTGGGTCTAGGGTATGTCATGACTCTGAATTGGAAGAGCCACCCCTGACCTAAACTTTTGTGTGTATCAAAAAAAAATTAAATCATCATACAATTTATCATAAAAAAATAGATTAAATATTATAATATATAAATTATGAGTTGTTCTTAAAGTAGTCAGTACAGATTTAAATTAATTTGTATGAAATCTAGTTTATCTTGGTATATCATTTTAAATTTTTGGGTATGTAAATAAAGTACAAATAATCATTTTTTTAATATTTCTGAAGAAAAATGATAATATTCAAATACACAAATATAATGAAGGAATATATTTATTAAAATTTAAAAAAATAAGAGAGGCAGTTTCCAAAACGACAAAGCAGATGAAATTGCCCGTGAAAGTGTAAATTGGGTATAAAGTAAACCCCACCTTACCCAAAATCATCACATTTTGACATCCCACCCTTCCTTTCATGCCCTCTTATTTTGTTCTTTTTGAATTGCCCGTTCAGTTCAGTTGGTAGAGCACAAGACTCTTAATCTTATGATCGTGGGATTGAGTCACACGGTGAACAATTCATAACTGCCGGAGGTCTTCTACGAAAATTGCTCTCAACCTTGCGTTGGGGCAACCTACTACCCTACCTCCCCTTTACCCCGTTACATATGGGAATAGGGTCAACTAATTTTTTATTTTGTTCTTTTTCTTCACATCAAAAACTGACAAATTAACTGAATTTTAATTCGATTAATATATAATTTATTTCAATTTAGAAGTATGTTTAATTAATGAAATATAAAATTATTTTGGGTAAAGTACATTAATAGTCCTCTTACTATAGGATATTGCTTTATTGAATCTCCAACTATTAAAAGTTACAAAATGATCCAAAAATTCATGTTTTTTTATGGGTTTATGTTTTCCAATTTTCTACATTCTTATTGCTTTAGGTTCCTTTTTTTACTTGTTTATTGTTCATCTACGTCATTTAACACATTCTTCTCCTTGTGTTAGTAGGTTAAAAGAGTTCGCATACTCCTCCTTCCTTGATTCTCGTTCTCTTGAAATCATACCTTTGTTTAACCTCTTAGAGCTTTTTATATAATTCTTCTCCTCTTTGTTAGCAATTGAACTCAGACACGAAAATTGAAAAGCTTTTTGGTAAGAGAGTTTTAAAGAGTACAAGATCGACTTACTTGTCTCTCGGTGTATTACTTCCTTAGAGTGACTTATGAGGTTTCTTGTTTTATATGATTTTCTTTTCCACTTTAAGTTGTTCTTTGAGTGTTGTGGCCTTCAGGATGGAAGAAGATGTAATAGAATTTGAGGCATTCCGAGGCATCATGAGCGTCATTGCTCAACAAATGAACATGTTTAATGGACTTCAACAAATAATGGATGAACTTGATGGAATTCATCAACGATAAGCAAATCAAATTACCAATTATCAACTGAGACAAGTTGAAAACTACGAACACAACATCATACAACATAGATGTGCACAACCGAGATTTCAAATACCATGTCTTTTTACTAAACCGATGATCACAATACCAAGATTTGAAGGAACAAACGATCCAAATGCTACATTGACTGGGAAAGCAGGGTCAACATCATACTCTCCCACGACAATTGTCCAATGGAAGAACAAGTACCATTGATCACCTTAGAATTTATAGGTTATGCTCTCGCATGGTGGAGGCACACAAAACGAAAATTTCCAAGAATTAATTCATGGTACGCACTAAAATAAGTAAAGAGAAAGTGTTTTCTTCCGATAGACTAGATTTGAGAAGTTAAGCAACGACTTCACCGACTTCGACAATAAAGAAATTCAGTAGAAGACTACTACAAGGAGATGACATCCTTAATAAATCATGTAGACATACATGAAACAAAAGTATATAGAGTGAACATATTTGTTATCGATTTACATTCAAACATCATTAATCTTCTTGACTTACATGGTTATGAAAGGCTTGAAGATACACTGAAGAAAGCAATGATAATCGAATCACAACTTCAAAGGAAGTATCGTTTCAGAAACACTTACCAAGGTACTTCATTTATTAACCAAGGTACTTCATCTATTAACCAAGGTACTTCATCTACTTACCATGGTAATTTATCTACGCCCACTTCTACTCCACCTTCTACCACAGATAATGAATCGGACAATGACATCGATGAATACGATGGTAGTAACATTGTAATGGAAGATATCAATTTTCAGTCATTGAAAACAAAAGAATCACTTGAAAAATCAATTGATGCCAATTTGTGAGGAGGGCGGAAAACATAAAAAGAAAAAAAACATGAAAAATAGGTAAAAACAAAAGAGGTACAACCCATTAAAGCTAAGAACATAACCCACAAAAGTTGAGTGAACCTAATTGTGAGAAAAAAAAAGAGTGACTCAAAATCTATGTGTGAGCACAAAAGAATTGAGAGAGAATCATCACCAAAAAGCCTTGCATCCTTGCTCGTTTTAAGGAATCAATTGTTTCGGTTTCTAACATTAACAAAGATTTATCTAATGTGTTTATTTCTCTCTTACATGATTTCTGAGAAGTGTTAGGTGATTCACCTGACAGATTACCTCCAAAAAAAGGAAAATAACACCACACTAATCTAATTCAAGGTTCCATCATACCTCGTCGAACAAACAATCTTGAAGAAACCAAAGAATTAGATTTGTTGTGAAAAAGCTACATCCAGGAAAGCCTTAATCATTGTACCATCTCAGTTACGAAACAAGAATTAAACCACACCACAAGTATGTTGTTTACTTTAATAATATTCTTATCCACTCTTTTCTTGAATCTCATATCGTCCATGTTCGCTCGATTTTTGAGGTTCTCCGACGAGAACACTTTTATGCTAACATGAACAAGTGTGTGTTTTGTAAGCTTATCTTTTTAGGCTTTATAATAAGTGCACAAGGAATTCATGTCGATGTTCAAAAGTTAAAGGCAATTCAAGAATGGCCCACGCCATCTTCTATAACCTAGGTAAGATTTTTCCATGGCTTAGCAATTTTCGATCGTCGCTTTGTCAACTATTTCTCTACCATTGTCGCACCTTTGACGGACATCATCAAAAAAGTCAATTGAATTAAAATGGGGACCACAACAACAAGAAGCATATGAACTTCTTAAAAGTATAGGATAAATCATCAAAAATATAACATTATCTATTGATTGACTAATCCGAATCGGGTACTGCAGCGACAAGGGCGACCCTCCCAACCCAATTTACTCCATTCACAATCGCCAGGGCTTGAACTCCTAACCTTGCTTAAGGAATCTAGTGCCTCATCTCACTAGATTAATTAATTTTTGGTATAACATTATCTAATATATTACTAAAAAATTTACATTATCAATTTGATAAATTTAGAAAGAACATATACTTAAAAGCATTTAATTAGAATAATATAAGATTGCTTGAAATATTTTTTTTATTAATTAAGGTTCCTACAAGTGGTAGTATTTTATTATTCTAAAGATTCTCAATCATTTAATAATGAACACTCAAATACCATGTAATCTTTGGTGCTCAAACCGTGACATCTAATAGTAAGCATTCATGTAACCACTGAGATAACTTAATTCATGCTACTTGATATAATTTTTATCACATTATCCTTGTGATGTATATTATTTTAACAGTTTAAACTTTTAATATTAAATTAAAATATTTTATATGAAAAAGTATAAGATTATTTTCGTTCTACTTTTTTTTTAAAAAAACTTCGTGTTTAATACATTATATTACACAATATTTAAAAAAATTACATAAATGAATATCATATATGAAAAACAAAACTCAAACAAGATTCAAGTTTACATTATCTCAATATGTATGCAACGGACGAACCAATATGAAGTCCCATTATCACAAGATTAAATTTTGTCCAAAATGATAGGAAATTGATAAATACCTAAGAATGAGTAGAAATAAGATTTCTTAAATCTTGATCTAAAAACAATATTATTGCTAATATTCTTTTAGATAAAAGGAATCAAAGATCCCTATACTTCTGAAAAAAAAATTAATGTGGACTTCGTATTATTTCTCTCTCTATATATGACCGAAAACAAACCTAATATGACCCTTTGACCAACATTTTTCATTATTTGACCACTACAATGCTGACGTGACAGTTCATAGTTCTAACATAACGATTTACGGTACTGACTTGACAGTCCATCTGGCATGTTTAAATTATCAATTTAGCCCATCTACCTTATTATCTATCACGTTATCAACTATTGTGGACTGTCACATCAACACCGTAGATCGCCACTCAGCACCGTGAACTGCCATGTAAACCCCATAATAGTCAACGACGAAAAACATTGATCAAAAGGTTATATTAGGCTTATTTTATGAGTTGAAGGGTCATATTGAGAGGAAAAATAATATGAGGGCCACATTAGTTTTTTTTAAAATACAAGGACCTCTAATGTCTTTTTACCTATTTTTTCCTAGTGAGAATAAATATAAAATAAATGTGGATATAAAATTTCGGAAACAATATTACCATGATGATAATATTTTCTACAAACTAAACATACCATGATTTTAGGGGATTACGAGTAATTTAGCTATTGAAATAAGTGGTTCATACCAAGATATGGCAGTGCTTTTCATCAATCAACACATTAAGGGAGCCACGCATCTATGGCGGACTCTAGAAACACTTTCGACGAAACTGTGCGGTGAGAATTGTCTTTCCACCGCAACGAGGCTTCCGTTGCGGTAGTGGCTTTTCACCGCACAGAATCTCCTCGTGTCATTTTCTTTTACCGTAAGAAGATAGGGAACTTGGACAAATCATAATTGAGTGAGTGCAGTGATGCAACACTTATGATCTGTTTATAAAAAACTCAAAACTAACGTGAGTCGTGGATGAGAGCAATAGCAACAACACCAACATGTTCCAAGTTATGCACAAGTGATCAAAACCCGAAGAGAGATTCAAGCCATGAATGAGAGAAGCACATGAAAATGAGGGATGCGATGATAAAGGAAAGCATGATAGAATCGAACTAATTTGGGATGTCTTGCCGATCTCACCATACTTTGCGCTTACATAATGAAATTTGTCAATAAAACACTAAGTTCAAGTTTTCTTAAATCTTATATACGTAAATAGGTTTAGATCCGCAATCGAGAAAAGATGAGCAAAAACTACAAATCCGACAAAAAAAAAAAGATGCGCTATTGATGGTGCACTGGAGTTCAGGGTACATGTATTGCGAACAAATGCAGGTAATAAATAAAAATGGTGTCAAAGTATACCTAAGGCAGCAAGATCTGTCATTCCGAGTTCAGCACAGAGTGGATTCAAGCCAGGTTCTTCCAATAGGCTGAATGCAGTACATCCGTAGTAGGAATGATACAAATCGGGTAGCTCCCTCGGATACTTGCTGAAACCTCCAAACTGATAAATAAAAAAGGAATAAAATTGACAGTCTGACAGATTAGAATTAATAAATGAGATATTTATGAAGAGATAAGGGTTATTATATCACTATTGGATTACATATATGTATATGAAGCAAGGCAACTGATTTGGAGGACATTTCATAATTCGGAGGTCTTCTACGGAAGCAACTCTTAACCTATTGTTGGGGGCAGCCTACTATCTTACCTCCTCTTACCCCATTACATATGGGAACAAGGGACAACCATTTTTTTAAGCAAGGCAACTGATTTGACATTTTAAGCTTGCCTTGATTCAATTTTCTGTAGCTCCTAGTATTAAATTTCTTTCTGAAAAAAACATTTATAGAGAAAATTCAATACTCTTGTCTTCCACGGATCATGGGGATATTTTCTCTCTACTTAAAATTTAAATGCAAAGGGCATCTTTTGAGAAACTATCGATAAACCCCCATTTAGACGAGGGTTCTTTTGAATGCATGTTGATTTCTAGATAATGTGCCAAGTAGAATGAGCACCTCAGACTGACAAGTCAGCAAAAATCCGCGCAGAGCAATCTTGTCAATAAATTTGTAGCCCCCTAAGATCCTCAAAACTGCCCCAACCCTACACAAGAACATCATTGCATCAAAACAACAGCACCTTATACCATGCCATGGACGAAGGTTTTTCTTCTTACCAAAATGCATAGCATGTATCACTAGATTTATTGGCTCTGCCTTGAAATCCACCATCAATTGCCTGTCTCTGTAGAAAGAAGAGAGGAAAGAGGATGAAACATTATTGAGGCATAGAAATTGCATAAGTTGCCTAACAACTAACTTAAAATTTGAGTTTTCACACAGATAATAATATTAAATCATCTACGAAAAAATGTTTGCTTTATTACCACTTTTAAGCTCTTATAATGATTCTCTTGAGGTTCATTGTCAATTTCTACATATTAAGTTAAAAACATCTTCCAGACATGGTTAGTGATGCTTCTAGATGCTAAATGATAAAAGTAAACCTGCATGCACCAGTCGAGCAATAACGGCACATTTATGATAGAAGATGTTGCATTTTTTGACAGAAGATCATCTTCAATGTACCCCATTAATCGAAGAGATGCCACAGCACAATATGTACCACCCCCTGCATCATTAAGACTAATGCTGTTGGTATCTTCATCAGAGCGAACAGAATCAAACCTAAAGAAATGTAGCCTGGGGTAGTTTCATGACACAACTTTTCTTATTAAAATATAAACCCATCAGCAAATATCAGTGAACAGTATGAAAATTTGATAAAAGTAGTATGAGGGAAAAAGGAATTGGAATCGGTTAAGTATTGACCAAAACCATTCTCAGCTGAATTTGTTTAATGAAAACTATGAGCAATGAGAAAATTGCAGAGAAACAGTGATTAGGCCTGCTCTAGATGCACGGAGTTGACAGATCATAAATCTGTAAATAGATGAGATATTATTTAACTCACCATGTGATTCTAAACCAGGCATCAAGCCAAAGCCACCATCATAAGACTGAAAGAGTAAAATCACTTCTTCAGTACACAGGCCATAATGTATGCAGAAAATAAAGATCAAATAAAAGCATCGAGAGTTCAGCAGTGCAAGCTGGTAGACCTGGCAATTTAAGATGTAGTCCTTGGTTTTCTCCCTATCCATTCCACTCCAATCCTCCAACATAAAACAGATAGCAGCTGATACATCAATTAGCTAAACCAAGATTTCATTATGGAGAACTTGAAATTATATAGCTTGAACTGTAACTGGTAATGCTTTTAGTTCTTACCAGCACAATATACAAATCGAAGATCTGTCTCTGCACCAAGATGCACCGGCATAAAACTACAAGATTATGAGAAACACAATTAATAGCTTCATCTTCATGCAAAAGTAATCAGTCTACAAGATCTATCACATGAGAATTTGAAAGGAAGAAACAAATTTTGGCCTTTCACTTTCCATTCCATGTTTGTTCACGGGAATATCATCAATATATATTGATTGCCCTTACAAACAATAGAGGTAGACGGACGACACTTCGTAGCATACCTTCCATCAGGCTGTTGAAGATTCCTCATTGATATCAGTATTGATTCTTTGTCTATGGTCAATATATTAAAGCCAACAGTCTTTAGTATGGCTAGGGCACAATAAGTGCTCGCCAAATGACCAGCATTACAAACTGAAACCTATATGCAGAATAAACAGAAAAAAAGCAATTAAACTAAACAATTAATGTCTTAAGGAAAATATAATGACTTTTTTCATACCCCATTTTCATCCGGAGGGAACTGTGACATCCTAGAACCATGAAACCCGTAAAATTGTCCTACACAAAAAAATCATATTTCCTTTTAGAAAATAACTTCTTTCTATATATCAAAAGCACAATGGAGCACCAAAAGGCAACAAAGCAAGACAATATTTTAAAGCCAACGTCCAAACCATTTTTCAATTCTGCTTGATTTATCGGATGAGCTCGAAATGATAAAACCCAACTGGCAACTCTGTCCTTGTCAACCTAAAATATATGCAAACCAAAATCAATAAGTACTTCAAAAGGGGGTTTTAGTACCATCTAATTAAGTAGTTCAATGTATGATCAAATTGCCTTAAGAAAGAAGATTCTTTTACTTCCTAAACAACTACAAAAAATGATCAAGCCAAATATTATAAGAAAATTAAAAGAAATTATCTAATATTATTAGTACTTCTAAGAAGATATAAGAAGCTAATACGCTATTGCAAAAATTTTCTTAAACGAAAGATTAAAATTATTAGTACTTTGTAATCAATTCAAGTCTAGCTATTTTAACTTAAAATTCACATTTCTGCTAAATTCGTAACCTAAAATTCTGAAAATAACAAAAAAGGGGAAACCAAACAATTAAAAGGTTACGCGATCTAAGGCTTTGAGAAGGTGAAGGCCAGAGATAGTGAAGAATGCAAGAGTGAGGCGATTGATCTCCTGCGATTGGTAGTGATAGGGCATCAAATCGTACAACATTCCAAAGAACGCAACGTGCCGATCTCTTTCGAAGTAGGACAGCGGAGATGACGGCGACGGCGCTCCATCTTCGTCTTCTTCTACTCCGACATCGAAATCCAGTGGGTCCCTCGTCGCCATTCTGTTCCCGCTTTTGCGAATTTTCCTTCCAAAATTTCTGGGGTTTCCCCCCGGGAGTTCTGATTTGGGAACTCGATCCGTTTGCTTGAAGATAACTTTTTTTCTTTTGCTGAGATAATAAATTGAAGGGTCAAATTTTAGTTTTGCTCCCTTTATTGTACTCAATATTAATATATATTCCTTATACTTTAATTCCACAAAATTTTAGTCCAAACTGTGTTTAAGTATTCCGGTTAACGTGTGAATTTGTTTATGTACTTTTTAAGTTTCTTAACTTTGATTTTTAATTGGGTAAATCATTTTTTGTTACTAATATTAATCTTTTAACTTTATTATGTAACTTCCTATTTTGTTCTTTCTAGTAACTCAATTGTTAAATCTCGGGTAAATTATGTGTTTAGCACTTAAACTATCAATTTTGATCTAATTTTAAACTTAAGCTTTCAATTTTTTTTCAAAACCATACCTAAAATTTAGTTTTTATTTCATTTTAGTACCTTAGTTTTTATTTCATTTTAGTACCTCATTCAAAATGTAACATTAAGTTTTGAAAAATTGAAAGTTTAGGTACTAAAATGGGCCAAAACTCATAGTTTAAGTACTAAATGTGTTCGGCTCTTTAACGGCATGTGCTAAAATGAAACGAAAACTAAACATTAGGTATAATTTTAAAAAATTAAAAATTTAAATACTAAAACGGACCAAAATTAATAATTTAGTTATCAAATGTGTTATTTTCCCTTATATCTTTGATGTCTAATTTTTTTTGTTAATTTTATGAAAATCTAGTGTACTTTTTTTATTCAAACTTTCTTTGATTCATTAATGTTAACATTCACATATAAATAGAGATGAATTTATAAAATTTTAAGAGAATATAAATTTATAAAATTTGAAGAGTGAAAACATATTTCCAATCGAAAATATAAAAATGTATCTAAAATATATAATAATTTGAAACTTTTTAAAGGGGTGATAGCTCCTACCTACTTCCCCACGATCCATCCCTAGATACAGAGTATATTCTTTTAAATTTAAGTGGTAAAAAGATCGAGAAAGACCCGAGATACGATATATCTCAATTATATGTTGATCGAATCTAAAAAAAAGGTTAGTTTCAATCCACTATCTAACAATCAAATATATTTAGCTTCCTAACATACACACAAATATGACCCTATATTTGGTATGATCCTATTTATTCTATCAACGTGCATATTAAGGGGTTGTTTGTTTACTTCAGAATGATTAAGTGTTGAATGATTCAAATGCTGAATGATTCAGAGGCTCTGTATGAATTAGCTCTGAATGTGACATGATGTTTGATAATGGCTCTGAATCATCAGAATGTACTTTGATGCTGAATCATTCAGCACTGTTTTGCTGAATCAATCAGCACTGAATCATTCAGAGGTGCGAAACAAACGTGTTGAATGTTGAACGGTTCAGCATTCAACGCTGAATGGTTTCATTCAGAGCCAAACAAACAGACATCCCCTAAGTATTCAAAGCAGGAGTACGTAGAATATCGTTACTCGATATGCCTCGACGAACCATTGGAGGGCTGTAATTATCGTAGTGCAAGTAAGACAAAAACAACTTAAAATTTTATGCTAGACAAGAACTTATAAAACTAAAAAAATAAAAAAAATTATAAATAAAAAATATGAAAAATATACTTATATTATATAAAAATTTAAAATTTTTAAGAGTCACGTTTAGTTGAGAGTGAGTACATGTTCATCTTGAAATCTAAAAAATTTTCGATTGATTTTTTTTATTTTTCTGATAATGTCCGCTCTATTAAAATATTTTGTATTATTAGATTATGTAGGTCTATCCTAAAAATATTTTCGTTTATGATCTAAAATGGTTGATGCCCAACGTGCTCTTTGTAGAATGGATGGTTTATACGTTTATTATCTAAATATATGTTTTTATATCGAGTCGAGTGGGTCGAATCAAATTTTTACTCTAAAAATTTGGGTAGGGTCGAAGTTGGGTGGAGAGCAAGGGATAGTCGCCCCTGAAAATTTAAAATTATAATATATTTTAGATTTTTACTATGTATTTCCTATTAAAAATTTGTTTTCACCTCTGAAATTTTAGTTTACCCCTAACATAAAATCTTACACCCATCTATGGTGGAGAGTATATATTTTTCGAGTTAAACTGGATTGATTGAAAGATATATATTTTTTGAATCAAATTTAAATAAAAAAAATATATTTTTCGGATCAGATCGAGTTTACCACCTCGATGAGCCTTGACTTTCTGCATGGATGGATACAAGTTTCAGGTGTCCCTTACAATGTTGGAACTTTACTACTTTTAAAAGGATTTCAGACATATGGGGCGAGTCCAATAGGATTTGGGCACAACTCAGACTCGTCTATGGGCAAGAACAATTGAATATCCGATGAATATGGCCCATTCTCGACTCAATTTATGATTATAAAATAATACATATTCGAAAAACTCTCAAACAATGAACGTTCAAACATCCCTATAAACGATGCGTTCGAATTTAAGATTTCTAAGGAATACAATCATTTTTTTTAGCTACTAAGGTCGATTAGTTTGTGATTTGCTGAATATTATGATTTATGCTTTAAATTTTCGTTCTCTCGTTCACAGAAAAACCTTTGGCTCTTGATGGTGGCACCATGGACAATATGGCTAGCTCGTAATGATGAAGTCCTCGACAACAAAGTCATGACGATGGAGGCTTTGGTATGTCCATACCAAATTAAGATCGATGATGTGGGCCAAAACGAGGCAAGGGTATCTTCAAATCGAGGGAAATCTATGGTGGTCACATCCATCAAAATGCCAACCGTCGAAAGCTCCATCGAGAGATGACCACTTCAGTTGTGGTCCTCCCCTAGCTGGATGGTTCAAATTTAATGTTGACGGCACAACCAAGGACAGCGACGCCGGATGCGGTGGAGCTACATATGAAGAGCAAATCCATCCAATTACATGTTTATTCTGTGACACGTCTGTCGCAACCGTCTTTCGGTTGGGCCCCGGAATTGGGCTTCGACTTGAATGAATTGGGTTAGGAGTCGCCACCGATCATTTATTTAAAAATAAATAGGTAGATCGGATACCCTATTTCTTACATGATCTGCGTCTTACCAGAGATGTGTCGGATTCGGGGGTCGGTTACAGTCAAGGAAGGGCTAGCACCCTTGAACTGCCCTTTCGGTACTGTGTAATTTCCAGTTGTCTTTAATTAAGAAAATTGAAAGTTAAATTAAAAGGTAAAATATTGATCCAAATTGCTTACCACTGATTGTTTGAAGTTCTCTCAAAAAGCCAAGAAAATGGTTAGGTAATGAAAGTAATAAAATAGAAAAATAAGACGAACAAACGAAATAATATATAAAAAAAACAATGTATACAAAAAAGAATGAATGAAATATGACTAAATATAAAATAAAATATGCAAAGGAAAAAAACGAAAATACAAATAAAGAAAAAGAAGAAAATAAAAATATAAATGGATAAAAAAATACACATAATAAAATAAAATATAAAGCAATGAAAAAATAAAAAAAGAAAAAAAAATATGCGTAATATACATATAATAAAAATAACAATTATAATAGTAAAAATAGTAATGAAATAATAATGATGAAAATAATAAATAAAATATATATATATATATGTAGAATATAAAAAATACATAAAAGATATATAGAAATAAAGAGTAAAAATGAGTAATACATATACATATATAATAATAAAAAATATAATATAATAGCATAAATAAATAAATAATAATAATAGTAAAAAGTAAAAGGGGAAATAAATAAAATAAAAATGGAATAAATAATTAATGAATGAAACATGAAATATATATATGTTAAAGTATTAAAAAGGAAAAATATCAATAATAGGTAAAATGAATATATATATATATATATGTATATACATATGTAAATACAAAAAAAATAAAATGTTAATAGAAATATAATTATAAGATAAAATGAGTAAGATTGGTAAATAATAAAAAAAATACATATATAACGTATAAAATTATAAGATGTAGTAGCTAGATAAAAAAAAAGTTAATTAAAATAATATATATGTATTAACACTAAGTATATAGATAAATATATAGAAAATACGTATATATATATAATTACATGATATGGAATAAATAAAAAAGGTTAGTATAAGTATTAAATTGATTCAAAAACAAGTTAAATGGCTAAAGTGAAAGAAAATCAGAATTAGAGACCAATTCAAAAGCAAATTCGGGGTCAAAATAACTCTTTAAAAGCTGCGAGGGACCAAAAGGGTAGTTTACCCCATTTTCTTTAAAAACACGCCTGATGTGTTGTATAAACTTAATTTTTTTTTTTAAAGATGCTTCATTTCTTTGTTTCCTCGCTGAAACGTCCCCTTTCCCCTCTCTTCTTTCTCTGCCTTGTTCTTCAGAAATGAAGAACACAGGCGACATTTTCCAGAAGCCGACCGTTGGCCTCCTCGCGCCGCCTCGCCGCTGCCGTTGAACGGCGACGGCCGCCGTTCATCGGCGGCAAAACCCGTTTTTTTTTCTGTTTTCCAAAGCTTTTTAAATCTAGTTTTCAAAAATCGAAATATTTTTTATAAAAAACGAGCCTCGGGGGCTAGATCTACAAAAGAAGATCCCGACCAAGCCCCTCCGTTCATCGGCTAAAATGCTCTATTTGGGTTTCTTTTGAACCAAAGCTTAACGAAGACACAAGACAAGGAAGAAAAACACGCAAAAGGTATGAACTTTTTACCTTCCTTTTCGAAATATTTGCACGAAACCTTCAAAAAAATATGAATGCTTGGTTGTGTCTTGCTGGTAATTTTGTTTATAACTTTGCTTGTATTCAGTATGGAAAAAAAAATCCCCTTGTAATCTTTGGTATTCGTCGGCCCCCTGTTACAATGGATGTTTGCATCTATTTATAATAAAAAAAACCTATTTTTAGATTACACTTTTGAATCCTAATGGAACTCTAATGCTGGATTATTGCTTTGGTTGTTGATGACGGTTGTGACTCTTGCGCCGGATGACTCGGGGACCGTTGGA